CAACAGTCTAAATTGCTGGAAGGAATAAAGGATGCAGTAAGTTCAGAAACAGAATTTGTTACTGAACCAATAAGACCTCTTATTTCTTCCCTTCCCATGAAATCTCTGGAAGCTATTACGGTGGATGAATTCAAACATTCTCTTTCATTGGATGGAAGAGAGGAAGCCATTACAGAAGCTTTACCCATGAAAGCTCTAGATACTGACACGATAGATTATTCAAAAATCAAACATTCTCTTTTGTAGGAGGGAATAGAGGAAGGCGTTACAGAAAGTATAACTGAATCAGCTCTTAATTCAATTCAGCCCGTAAAAGCTCCTAATGATATGGAAATTTCTATTGGATCCTCAACTATGGAATCTCCATCTACTAACTCAACGAATTTTTCTGAAATGGTAGATAGTGTTGTTGATATGAGAGATATTTCTCCTAATTCGGAAATCAGTTTGAATGTTAAAAAAACTATTTTTAAAAAGGGAAATACTATTCCTACTAAGATAAGTGGTTCTTCCAGCTCTAAACACATATTGTTCAAAGAACTTTAGACCTTATGACCGGTGAATGATCTTCCTAGAAGAAGGTTGGCTGGAATTAAAATGAAGAACGATATTAGATGTTCTTCTCTTTTATCTTGTTAATATGCAAGCTGGTTTCCTTTTTGCTATCAACAATGTTGAAAGACATTTGAAGATGGAGAAATTAATAGGTTTTAATTATGATTTTGGAAGTTGGAAATTGCATTTGGAATATCTATCAGTGATATTCCTATGTGATTTTTTGATGTCTTCGATTACTGTTTTATCCTTTTTAGAATTTGTTACTTCTTTTTTCCTTTTGTTTGTTATTTATTTTTAAACTTATTCTAATTGATTATGGGATCGTTACTAAGTCCTATTCTTTAACCGGTTGGGAACTCTGGGATACTAATCAACCCTCGGGTTGTTTAATACTTTGGTATCCCTTGCATCTCAAAGGTTTTATAATAGGAAATTGTGGGTTTCATTTCAATTATAATAAGTTTACTTTAATAAATATGCTTTCAATAAGGTTCCTTTTTCATGTTCATAAAGGAACCAATAGTTTTGTCTTTATAGCTTGTATTGGGTGCTTTCTCTTTCATTTTAATGCAATTTTTGCATTCCTTGAAAAAAAAGTAAAAAGAAGCTAAACCCTTAAACATCTAGGAACCTTTTAGTATAATGGTTAGAATTTCATTAAGAAACTCTACAGCTAAGCATGCCCATCTCATGAAAATTCAAATTTTTTTCCCGAAATTTGTTCCTGGTAATCAGGAATAGGTGTGGTTGATGGTGGCGGAGAGTCGCCGGCAAGCACAGGCCCCGGCGACTAGGTTTCCATCCTTCATTTGGAATTTCAAGTTAGATGTGAAAGGTAATGAATCGCTGTTGCTGAAATCCAAACAATATTCTGAGAATAATTTGGTTAAACCGCAAGGCAAAGGTAAAGGAATTGAAGAAGTATGAAGCATGTGGAAGGCAAAGGTAAAGGAATTGAAGAACAAGTGGTCAATGTTACTCCTAGAACTGAAAAACTTTTTTCTTCCTCTATCTCAATGGATCCTGTTGCATCATCTCTAGGAATAAAAATTTTTGTTAATAGATTTGGGAATTCAAATGTAATCCCTAGATACAGTGTGATAAATGGGAATTCACTGAATTTGGTTAACAATAATATTCATTCATTGGTGAATGAGAATAATAAATCGAGTGTGGCTAAGGTGAATGATGAAATGCCTAATACTACTAATAGTATGGGCAATATTAATCCTTGGAGTAACAAGCCTTATATCAAACTTGATTTTAAAGAAGAAGAAATGATTTTATCAGAAGATGGTAAGGCCGTGAGGATGATTGAAGATCTGGAGATTTTGAATTCAAAGAAGCTATTGAATTTGGTGGTGATTAAGGTGTTTGGAAAAGAATTGGCGTCTCATTTGGTAGCTTGGGAAGTAAGAAGGTAATGGAGTCATTTGGGGCAATATCACTTCACCACTTTGGGTAGGGGTTGGTTCTTATGCTCGTTTAAATCAGAAGAGATGGTGGAAGTAGTTCTTTCAGGAGGTCCATGGTTTATTAATGGACATATAGAAGGGATAGAGAGATGGTCTACGGAATTTTCTTCGTTATCCACGAAGGATCTAACCTCTCCAATTTGGGTTAGAATGCCACATCTGCCATTGCAATATTGGGATGAAGTAAATATAGTAAGAATTACTTCTAGAATTGGTAAACCTTTAATGATGGACGGGAATATGTTCCAATGGGGGAGGAGGAAATTTGCTAGAATATGTGTTCGGGTGAAGCTTGATCAACCACTTTCGTTGGGAGTATGGGTGGACAACATTTCTTGAAGATTCTTTCAAAGAGTGGAATATGAGAAGGGGCTAACTTTTGTTTTTAGTGTGGAATGATTGGACACATGAAGAGTGATTGTGCACTAAAAGAGACCATTCCCAAGGTGGTAAGGGTTGCAGTTAATAATAGTAATAAGGAAGCTGGAGGGGGAATTATGCATGAGGTAGTTAAGGAACCGTCCTATGGGCCGTGGATTCTTGTTAACCACAAGAAAGGAAAAAGCCCTTTTCGAAGAAGTAATGTAGTGAAATCTAATAATTTGAGATTTGTTAAGAAGATTGCTAAACCAGTCTCGGTTATCCAGGAAGAGAGATCTGGTCTATCTTCTAATAACAAGAAGGTTTCTTCTCACCAAAAGCAAGCTGGGTTGATTGATGATGTAGAACAGTTAGAAGAAGGTGAATTCATTTTGGAAGGTGATTGACACATGGATGAAGAAAATGGAGTTGAAGCAGAGATGAAGAAATGATCTTTTGACAAATGTGAGGTCAATTCTTAGGTGATTTGGGTATGATCTCTAAATATGATATTCCATGTATATCAAATTATGTTAATAAATTTAATATTATGAAATATGTTAATGAGGATATATTGAATGAAGATGTGATAGAAGTGGATAGGAGTTTGGTTGGAAATGAAGGAGGTAGTGTTGGTAAGGTAAAGGAGATGAGTAGTAAAGAGGGTTTTCACCAAAATAAATCTGGAAATAATTTGGGAAGGGAAGGAGGTGCTAATGGAGAGGTGAATAAAATAAAATTGGCAAAAGATCTATATCTCTTGGACCAATTAAGAACATTCCTCGTGGTAGGAATTTTGTTGGTGGTGGAAGCAAAAGGAGGGAAGGGGCCTCATCCCCTAGATTATATTAATGAATTCCCTAGCATTTTGGAATTTTAGGGCGGCCAAGAAAAAAGAGGCCTCTCTATATCTTAAGGAGGTGATTAAAGATCAGGGTATTCTATTTATGAGGTTAGTGGAAACAAAGATCAATGCTTTTTACAAAGTTTCCTTTGAGAAAATTATGGGACCTAATTTTGACTTATTTATTCTTCCGTCAGAAGGTTTATCTAGAAGTATTATGGTTATGTGGAGGTCGGAATTGGCTTCTTTCTCCGTTCTAAAGAGGTTAGAACAGTGTGTTATTGGGGACCTTAATGTCTTCAACAAAGGGGTGTGGATGATTGCAACTATCTATGGGAGTAAGGAGGTTGTGAAGAGGGGAGAGTTATGGGGAAGTTTACAGAAGGTAGCTATTAAAAAGGTTCCTTTCATTGTTGGGAAGGGGGGGGGGGGGGTGAGGGGGGATTTCAATTGTATTTTGTCTCAAGGAGATAAGAAAGGTGGAAGTAAGTTTATTTTCTCACGAGGTCCCAAAGAGATGGCCGATTTTATGAATTTGAATGACTTGTATGAAGTGGGATTTGTGGGACCAAGGTTCACTTGGTGTAACAATAAATCAGGAGGAGATCGAATACTTGAGAGAATGGACAGGTGTTTGCTTAATTCCATGGCTATCAATGGTATTCAAGTAGCAGTGGTAAGACACTTAGTCAGGGTAGCCTCTGACCATTGTCCAATAGTCTTAAAGATTTCTTAATCTTCTAGAAGAAGGCGTGGGAATCTTAAGTTTGAAGATGTTTGGATTTCGTATAAAGCTTCAACACTCATTATTGCTAAAGTATGGAGCAAGGGATTTTAAAGAGATGATATGTAAATCCTTAATAAGAAATGTAAGAAAGCATTGCAGGAGTTATATTATTGGAGTAAGACTAAAATAAAGGATTTTGCAAAGGAGAAGGAGGAATTGAAAGAGGTAATATTTCAGATTCAAGAAGAAGTGGCTAGTATGCGGTGGCTAAGTGATGAGAAGCTTTGGCTGTTGAGATCTAAAGTCAAGGAACTTAATTCGGTTCTTGCCCGGATGAAAACTTGGTGGAAACAAAGAGCAAAGGCAAAGTGGATTGAGGATGGGGACACTAATTCTAAATTTTACCATTCTTTTGCAAATGCTAGAAGAAATGGAAAATGGATTTCTCAAATTAAAAAGCTAATGGAGAACTCACTGAGGAACCAGAGATACTTAATGATGTCTTCTTCAATTTATTTCAAAATAAGTGGATGCAAAGGAGTTATTGCATAAACAATTGGCCAGTCCTGAGAGCTATTCTGGATGATGCATATAGAAGAAGTTTGGAGGCAGTTATTTCAGATGTGGAGATAATTGAAGTTATCAAAGGGCTGTGAAGTAATAAAGCCCCGGAATATAATGGCATCACATATTCTTTTCTTAAAAATTATTGGAATATTATCTGGAATGATGTATGTAAAGCTGTGAGGAGATTCTTTGAATCAGGTATACTGTGTAGGGAATGGAAGGACACACTTATTGTGCTTATCTTGAAAATAAGTAGCCTAATCTCTCCTGATTGCTATTGTCCAATTAGCTTATGAAATTGTATATATAAAATTATGGCTAAGGTTTTGTTGAATAGGCTTTGCTGGTAATCCCAAAGGTTATTTCAGAAATGTAGGTTGCTTTTTTGAAAGGGAGGAGTATATCGGATCATCTATTGCTAGCTCAGGAATTGATTAATAAAATCAAAATTTCTAAATCAAATGGAGGTATGGTTGCTATCAAGCTGGACATGGAGCAATCATATGACCGCATGTGTTGGACAACTCTTTATGAGATGATGAAAAAAATTGGCTTTCCCGTTAAGTACATGAAGTTGGTGATGGAATGCATTATGGAGCCAAGGTTTTCTATCTTAATCAATGGAAGACTCTCCAAGTGGATCATGGGGAGGAGTGGTTTCTGTCAGGGCTATCCGCTCTCCCCTTTTCTGCTTATCATTTGTTCCCAATTATTATCTAATGTCCTTCTCCAGGAAGGCAAGGACTTAGGCATCAAGGTTTCTTCAAGGGGGCAGAAGGTATCACATTTTCTTTATGTAGATGATGTCCTTTTATTATATGATGCTAAGCTAAAGAGCATTAAGAAGATAAAGAGCATTGTAAGTAATTATTGCGGCTGGACAAGAGAAAGACCGAATCTTCAAAAATCTTCAATGATTATTGGTAGAATAGTTGAGAGTAGAAGGAAGAAGAAAATTGCAAGGATCATGGGGATTAAGGTGGTAGAAGAATTTGACTATTTGGGAACAAAGTTGTCTTTAAGGAGATTGAGGAAGGAAGATTTTCAATTCTCATTGGATAAATCCTTGAAGATTTTAAATACATGGGGAAATAGATATATTTCCCTTCTTGGAAAATTGGTTCTGGAAAAATTAGTTTTTTGTAATCTTCCATTATTGTTAATTTCTCATTCCCTTATTCCATTAAGTGTTTTGAAGGAATTTAAGAAGTATTGCAGGAATTTTATTTGGAATAAACAAGATGGAAAACATGGGATGCATTATGTGGCTTGGGAAGAGCTGTGCAAACTGAGAGCATTGGGTGGATCTTCATTCGACTGTCTAAAGCTTAGAACCAATGAGAGCAATGTTTGCTTGGAATCTAGTAGAGAAGCCAAATTCTTTCTTAAACAGGAATCTGTTGGCCAGATACAGTTAAGATTGGTGGAGAAATGATGTATTAAAGGGAGGCTCTTCGGCATGGAGGATCATCGCCAGTGGCTGGAATGCTCTTAGAAGTTTTGTTAGATGGAATGTGGTGAGAGGTACATGTATAAAAGTTTTGAAGGATGTTTGGATTTTTGATAAAAGCTTACTCAGATAACCTTATTATGTAGCTATGTTTGAAGATGATAATACTACGCTCTACTTCTTTATTCTAGATGGCAGGTGGAATATAGAGAAGTTACTTCTTTTTTGGGGAAAGAACTGGTGTATGTGATTAGTAACATTCAGATTTGCCAAGATGAAGAGGACTTCATGGAGCTGGAAAAGAAACTGACAGGGAATTCAGTTTCGGCTATGATTAAGGAATACACTGTGAAGGAGGTTGCAGGTGAGGATCCTTACTCTTGGATTCATAAGATGAATTTAAATGCTCGGGTGGAATTGTTCATTTGGAGATTGTGCAAAGGTGTTGTTCCAACAGCAGAATTTTTGATGAGAAGAAAGATGACCGACTGCAGTTTGTGTCCAAGAGGATGTGAAGAGGTGGAGAGTGTGGATTATGTGACCACTAATTGTCCAAAGCTGGTAAAGGTAATTTGTATACTGAGAAAATGGGGTTTTCTTTTTCCTCTATTCAATTCATTTCAGCATTGTATGGATGAGCTGAAGTATTTTTCTGACACAAATCCTATGACGGTAAAGTTATATTTTTCACTATTATGGATATCATGGAGCAATAGAAATAAAGTTAAACATGGGAAGAAAGAAGATTGTGATTCAGTTATTTCTTCTAGTGTAATAAGCTTTGTTGGTATGGACAGACAGAACAAGGTGCTCTCGAATAACTTGGATGCTGGCCAATCCAATGGATTGTTTTTAGATTTATGGCAACCCCCGCCACCTGAGTGGTACAATATCAATATAGATGCTTCGCTGAAGAGTAACTATGGAGCAGGTATTGGAGGAATTGTAAGGGACTACAAAGGAAGATTTGTATGTGCATTTAGTTTTTATGGGATGCATTGGGATTTAGCACAAGCGGAACTTTATACTTTCAATACATTAAAAGAAGTTTTGAATAATTGTATAGGCAATGCTAAAGGAGTTATTATAGAGGGAGACAATAAAAATGTCATCCAATTTCTTCACAACATGTACAACAAAGAGAAGAAGTTAGGTGGAGGCATTGAAGATGAAGATTTCCTGTGTTCGAGTTATGGGAATGATGTAATTTTTCATTTTATTGGTAGGAATTGTAATAGGTTAGCTGACTATTGTGCTAACTTAGCCTTTTCATATGATTTCATTTGGGACTTATTTTGTGAGAGTTCGCTTCCTTCCTCCTTTGTGAATCTTGTAAAGGAGGAAAGTGATTTGGAGTTTAACACTCAAGTAGCATGTATCTAGGCTCTTTGGTTTGGTAATTCAAATGCAGATTGCATTTCTTAAAAAAAAAAAAAAAGCATGCCCATCTCATAGAAATTCTTGATGGGTTACCTCTTGAGAAGTAATGCCAAGATGATGAAATTATTAGGCCCTTAGGATAAAGTGGATAATATCTCGATAGCTAAGAGTTTTGGAATATTAAAGTCCTTCCCCAAAATCTTCCTCCACTACAGGTTGATAAAGCTTCATTTCCTGCTATAGAAAGGGTTGTTTGTTGCCTCTAACTCTAGCTATCTCTGAATTAAATCTACCTTTCAATGCACTTTTTAGAAACTATACTACTTTATGAGTGAACTGACCAAACCTAAAGCACTAACCCATTTCTAAGAGTCACTAACATGTATTCCTTTTTCTACATAATAAAAAAGTAGGAGTGATGCTAATAGATATGGATCCTCCTATACTTTGAGACACAGCAGTCCTCCTCTCTTAAACTTACCAACTTCCAACCAAGATTTCTTCGCACTGACTATACTTACGGATGAATATCTACTAAACCTCTTCTAGCTCACATCCCATCACTATCAGGTGGACATTAGATCATTCCCCACCAATTGTGCTCCCTCCACAAGCTAAAAAAGTCATAAATGTCGAACAAAACTTGAGGATGCTTGAAACTATCTCGTAAACCAAGTGAAAATCCATAATACATTTTTTTAGCATATTGGCTAGTTGGAGAATATATATAGTAAAAGCTTTGAACTCCACCTCATACAACATCGCCTTCATTCCCCCTTGTAGAAGCCTCAAAAATGATTTTTGTATATATTATTTGGCGAACGGTGCCATAAATTAGCTTTTGAAAGGTCTCTATATACTCATCCCAAATAATCTCCACATTTGGTTTTCCTAAAATCTTTCCTCTTTTATATTATCCACCAACGTTCTGCTCCTTAATTTTAAAAAAACCTAACTAATGTACCTTCTTAATATCCAGACAATGTGTACAATTAAATGACTTTTTATCCTGATAAGACAAGCTTTAGTTTCCTGAGGCTACCCTTCACTTTTGAAATGAGGTGGTTTTAGTCTCATGAATAGTTATAGATGCTTATCTATCTCATCTCCCTTAAATCCAAACATTCGATCCTGAGATTCATCTATTAACCAGGATACCAAGCCAGCAAACTACATCATGTAATTAAAAGTCATAGCCCTATAATACTCTGTACTATAGCATCTCTACTTGAAATCTATCCATTAGCTTTATTATGATCTTTGGGGTTCATATATGTTAACACTTTTATCTAAATTAGGAAAGAAATATATCAGTATATTTTTATCACCATACCATCACATATATAAATTTCCAATTAAAATATTGATTTTAATGTATTTAAATGTTTAATAAATTAGTAAAGTATAAATAAAGTATTAGCAAAATATAATTCTTTTAAATTATAATATTATACTTATTTCCAAGGTCATCATTTACACCTTTATAGCTTACTTTTATAAAAGTATCAAACATGTCACAGGACATTGGTTTTAAGAGCTTCATTTGTACTTAACTTTCGCATTTCATCAAAATTCATTCAATAACATCAAAATCTAGTAGAACAACTTATAACATTATTTTTATTTTAATTATTGGATTAACATATATTGTAATGTATCAATATAATGTTTATGTCTCAATGTCTACTTATTGCTCTCTTTTACCTCTCCCACTTACACTCAGCAAGTGGGCCATAAAAGAATAGAATAAACGCCCACACTGGCATTCAATAATGTGGTCAAATTCCCTGCACATTCACATAAGGTAGATAAGGAATAAATAGAATATGTTGGTCCCTTGTATAATTTGAAAGAATGAAGTTACCACATTTCAGAATTCAAAACTCCTCTAATACCATGCCATGAGTTATGTAGTTTAAATGCAACTGAAAGAAATTATGACTTAAATAGGAAATTATATTAATGAATGGAATGCTAGAATTATCTCCAGCGGTGCATGTTGCAAGTATAAAAAACCCAATAGAATTATATCATAACAATTTTAATTTCAGAGGAATATAAAAAATAATATTTTAGGTCTTCTATTAAACTATTTAAAAATTCTAAAATGTTTCATTTGTTCAAAATACTAAAACCCTTGCATAAAAAAATATAGTAAAAATATAGAATGAAGCATTAAACAACATACTAAAAGTTATACAGTGAAAATATAGCAAAACCTGAGAAAACAATGTTTTTAATCATATAATTTTATAAGAATATTGGATTGAAATTCGAGAGATGTGTTCAGAAGCTTATCTCATGCTCTACAAAATTCTAACGTAGCCCTATGGATAAAACTTGAGCTTCAACCTTTATATTTTCTCCTTTCTAATAATATTTTGAAATCTCAAAACTAATAACACAAAGTTCAGTGGAAGAAATTTATAAATAAAATATTTTTGCTCTTTTAGATTTTTTTTAGAAAAAACAAATGTAAAGATATATCTTATTTTGTTTTGTTTTACATTTTTATTTTCTTTTTCAAATAAATTTAAATAAAAAAATAGCTCAATAATCTCAACAAATGCTTGCAAGAATATAACATACAGGGAAAATTAAAATGTGAAAAAATATGCAGAAAAAGTATAATGAGCACAAGATTTATAGTGACTCGTTCAAACCTTAACCTACGTCCACTTCCTAGAGTCCTCCTTTTTGGATATTGCACTAAACCTTTTAGTGAATCTCCTTTACCCCCACAGAAAGGTTGAGAAACCATTATAAAATATCTTCTTCTAACCTGGTGCGGTAGAGCACCAAAATCTTTTCCACCCTCTTGGTGAGGCATAGAACCTAAAATCTTTTTCACCCTCTTGGTGAGGTAGTGAATCTTTTTCACCCTCTTAGTGAGGCAAAGAACCTAAAAATCTTCTACCATAAAGACTTTCTTTCCATAGCAACCCTAAAGAGCAATGACAATACATGAAGGAACTAAAATGTATGTTTGCATGGAGAAACTGTGTGAAATCCTCTCATAGTTCATCTTCCCCACACACAAATTCTCCTTCTCCAAACTCCAAGATCTCCTAAGAAGTCAACCTTTCAAAGCATTCTCACAAAAAATCTCTCAACAACCAAAGAATGTTTCAAAGTAAAATAGGAGAGCTTAAATATAAGGCTTCCAAAAAAATCTAAATTTTCAATTCTTTCACTTCTAATCATACAATACGATAGGTGATCCTACATTATAATTAGGTTAATTTATCTTGTTAGTACAGTACGATGAATGAAGGTCAGTATGAATAGTTTAAATACTTAAACTGACCGTCATGTACGATATTAATAGTCATATAATATGATTAGTTCAATAAAATAAGAATTCATCCAGGATGATCACAGCAATTAAATATCATTATGGGAGAAAATAGGGTGATTTTATACAAAGCAAGTCATCATGTAGTATGATATAAAATATTAATTAATCCTGATTCTATTATGTAATTAAAAGATTAAATTAGATAAGATTTAATGATATCATACAATATAATATTAATTATATAATATAATTATTTTAATTTTTGAATTTTAAAATATTTCCTAAGTTGTTATTGGTAGCAAGATTT